AGAATTCCTGATCCCTCCCCCCCGCATCTCCCAGCTCTGTCCATTGATGCCATCGTACCAGGCCACCACTGGCTAGCAGCATCCCCAGTGTGGAAGCACCCCTGCCATTTCAAACAGCAGGAAGAGAGGCTCTGTCCCTCCACCAGGCCCCTTATACAGGGGAGCCAACAGCCTCCCTGGGCTCCTGGGCCAGGTGTATGTGGAGGGCCCAACTCCATGCTCCTGGAGGGGGCGGGGCTTCAGGCAGAAGGGGTGGGGCTGGAGCCAGCCAGCCCTCTGCATCACCCAGAGTGCGACTCCCCCCTGCCCAGAACTGCCCTCCTCTTCCCCGCCTAGGAACAGCTCCAGCCCTGGCACCCTCCTCAGCTTTGCCAAGGGGCACAGATCCGACAGCGAAACCGACTCGCGCCCACGCAGGTCCCTGTGGCTAGGCAGAACCACAAGCCGCTGAGGTGGCCCAGAGCTGCCTGCAGGTTCAGGAAGGCCGTGCTGCGTTGGAAGAGACTTACAGCCTTAAACAGGAGAGTCACTGAACAGACAAAGATTAAATTCTGCAGGAGCTGATGTCCCAGCCGTGCACACGCAGACTGTTCCCACAGGAAGGGCTCCCGCCTTTCTGGAGCTTTGGTCTCCAAGGTCTCAGAGTGTTATATCAGAGTGAAATTTAGCCTCAAGCCCCCACCCCCTGCAAGACAGGCCAGCTACATCCTTAGTCCACAGCTGGAGAAGCCCTGAGGCAGTGCCAGGATGTGATTTGCCTGGGGGAACACAGCCAGTCCATGGCTGGCCGGGAATACTCTTTAGCCCAACCTGCTTGGATTGGGAGATTTTTCCTGAAGGCCTTAAGTCCCTAAATCCCCTTGGATTTAAAGGGAACCCAAATCTCTTAGGATGCAACACTGGCAGCATCAGATCCCGAAGAGCACAGGGAAATCCTGGCACTCATCTGTTATTTACCTCCCTGTAAAACTCTGGAGCTATTAATTCTACTAAGTGCCTGGAATTCGCTGGAGCCAGAGCAGTTACGTAACAGACCAAAACTTTATTGTGTGGGCAGGGAGCCCATTTCCCGCGTGGGCTGCACCGTTCTCACCAGCGCCTGAGGGACGCGCAGCCAGCTGCTCTCCACGGCACCCAACACGCACGCCCCCCCATATTTAGAGCTTTCAAACAGGAGCACCGACTCACGTTCAAGAGGAGTTGCCACCCCGGGGAGCAAAGTAAGAGCCCTCCCAACGGAGGCTTTTAATGGTCGGTGGCAATGAACAGGGAGAAGAGGTTGAACGGTGACGGAAAGTCAGGGGTGTCGTGCCCTCGCCCCAGAGGGTTCCCTGCTTTTTACAGAATTCAAGGTGCAGTGCTGGAATGTTGGCCCTAAACACGCCAAAAATCAGACCTTCCGCACGGCCACCCAAGTACCCAGAACTCAGCTGAAGAATTCAGGCACCGGAGGGTCTGTCTGACTACAGCTGGGAAGAGCTTAGACATGTGGCCAGAAAGGAGGGGGGGGTTTTTCCTGGCCCCACCTCAGGCCACAAGCAACGCCGGGTGCCACAAAGCCTCGCCATCAAACTGCAAGGGCTGGCAACCCGGTAACGCCAGAGAAGGCCTCCACGAGGCAGGGGCTGGTTCTCCGTCATGGTACCACAAGTGCTGGCTTCGTGGCCCTGCAACACCCCAGCAAGGCACAGGCTGGCGCGTTTGGAGACAGCTCTCAGCCTAGCCCGCGTCGCCTCAGAGCCCGTCTGCACAAGCACTGCACCCGGACGGGTTTTATCAGCCTCCCGCTGAGCATGCACACGGCCCCACTTGTGCCAGCGCATTTGGGTCAGCACAGAGCGAGATGCATTGTGGGTAGATAGTCCAGCATCCTCCACTACGTCTGCAGGGTCTTAATGAGACACACAGCCCCAGCTTTCTGCCCAGCAAGGCCTGGCCCTAGAGCGAGGAGGGGTGGGGACCTACCGCCCCAGGGGTGGATCGGGCCCCTGGCCTGCCTGGATCTGTCCCCCCCCCCAGCATCAGGGATTCCCAAACCTCATGGGCCACATTCAGGCAAGCTGGGGCTCGGTCAGACCCATGGGCTCTGCTTGGCGAGGGGAGAAACTGGATTCATGTGCTGCCGCTACTCCTCCCCTCCCCTGGCTGTGGAACCAGCAGCGCAGCAAAGTGCTCCCTGGAGGCTTTACCCTTGTCACACCAATTGGCCGCAATCACGGCCAATAGGAGCAGCAGGGGGCGGTGCCTGGAAAGACAGGGAAGCATGGGTGTCCCCAGGGAGCTGCACCAGGTAAGTGCCTCCCTCTGCCCATTGCTCAGAACCTGCTGCCCCAC